CCCAAAACAAAACAAAAACCAAACAAAAAATCAAAACACACAAACAAAAAACCAGAAAAAGCGCGTTCTCGGAAGGGTTTGTGCCTTTCAGAGTAGCCGACTGTACTCAGGTAAGCCTCACCTCGGAGGGCGCAGGCACCACAGCTGTACCGCAGGGAGTCCCTGCGGGCAGCGCCGGGGAGGCGGCAGCAGCCAAGCCCCAGGGGTCCCTGCGGTCGGAGAACCCGCCGTATCCGCGGGCAGGGACCCGCGGGCGGCCGGCAGCGCCCCGGGGATGGTGCTGTCGATGGCGCCGCAGCGGCACACGAGCTGCCCCCCTGCGCTCCCCGCTCGGCCCCGGCCCGGCCCTCCCCGGCGCCATTTTGCGGAGGCCAGGCCCGTGAGGCGGCCCTGCCACGGGAGGCGGCGGCGCAGGTAACGCGGGATGGCGGCGGGACCCCTGCCCGGGCGGGGCTGAACTGCCCGGCCCGGCCCGAGCCCGCGGGGACGGGGGGTGCGTCCCCCTCTGTGGCGGAGCAGCGCCCCGCGAAAGGGAGGGAGGGAGGGAGCCAGGGGCCCAGCTAATGAAAACAGCTGTAATTACAGATCGGATTTTAAAGAAGCTGCGTTGTTATTAGTACAAAATTATTGTATTTGTAGTGCTGTGAACTGTACTCAAAACAAGATTTCCCAGGATGTCCTGCCAGTGCTCTGCTCACACAGAGTGTGAGTGGTATGTTCAGTCTTGTAGCTTGAATGTATGTAACTCGCATTAGATTTACTTCTGTTTGTATCTGTTTCAGGCTTGAATAGCTTGTAATGAACATCATCATTGGCAAATGCAATGGAAGAGGGCAAGGTTGAAGATGTCCAGAGTGTTCTACGACTTAATGTGCGAGGATGTTTGTACACAGCCAGGCGCGAGTCTTTGTGTCGCTTTAAGGACTCAATGCTGGCTTCTATGTTTAGTGGACGCTTTCCTCTAAAAGTGGATGAATCAGGTAAATATATTGAACCTGTAAATATGACATTCTGACCAGGGAGCTCTGTGGCAAATACATCCTTGTCCCAGTCAAAACCGCAGCTTCAGAATGTACTTCTTCAGTGTGAATATGAAAACAGATTAAACTGAAGTTGACAGAGTATTTGGCATTTAACTTGGATCCTGTTTGTGAACACCTATATTCTCCAGAGGCATCTTATTCTCTCTGTTCATTACAGAAGGAGATTTGGGTCTAATCTTTGTTTCAGAATACTTCATTACCCAGTAAGGATTGCATTTTTCACCATCCTGGCTTGATATGAAAGTTTGAATAAAACTATTCATGGGTCAAATTTCACACTCGTTTTTGACTTGGAAATCCTGCCAAAGTATGTCCAGTTTAAAGATATGATGGCTGAAGAACAGTAGTTCCTTGTTGTACACTTTGGACTGTTCAAAATATCTGAAATGTTTGACATTTGTATGGGCAAGACTTAGCTACCATCCTTCACAGCTGCAGTGAACAGCCTTGTATGGATTGGTTGGTTTCTGTAGGGTCCTTGAGCCTGGCAGGCAAAGGAGAGAAATAATACAGTCAAACTTCAGCAATATTCAAGGAAGGTTTGACTAGATGTGTACTGGAGCTGATGCTACTTTTAACTCTTTTAAATGGCCAGATCCAAAATTGAAAAGATCCCTGGAATAGTGAGCAAAGATGTAGCTGCAGTTAAAATTAGAAATGTGTCTAGAATTGAATTCTAGCATCTCAAGCACAGTGCAGTACAGATGAGGTGGTATGTTGACATGGTTCTGTGCAGATTAGTGATCTCACTGAAATTCCAAAGAAATGTTCTCTGCACTAAAAATTTTAGCTTCAAATCACAAATATTCCAGAGGAACAAAATATAGTTTTAAAAGAATAGAGACAGTATACTTACTCCACCTAAGTAAAACTAGCACAGAAGATTTATACAAAAGGCTTTGCTTGATGATTTGGTAGAATGTGACAAGTTCGTCTTCACTTGCTGGAAGCAGTATTTTAAATGATTTTATTTATGTTTTCAGGAGCATGTCTAATTGATCGAGATGGAAGCCTGTTTAAATATCTTTTGGATTATCTTCATGGAGAAGTTCGGATTCCTGGAGATGAACAAATTCGAATTGCACTGCAGGAAGAAGCAGATTATTTTGGAATCCCTTATCCATACAGTCTGTCTGACCATTTGGCCAATGAAATGGAGACATATTCTTCAAGGTCAAATATAGAGCTTAAAAAGGTCTTAACAGTTCTTGTATTTTTTAAGTTGTACTCTCTAATCTGCACCATTCATTAGCACCAGATACTAAAACTGTAGTATGTGCAGTACTGCAGTATGTGCATATTAATCACACACTGAATCTTGAGTAAATTCAGAATTTTAGCTTAAGAAATCCTGGAGCTGATAATGCAGTCAGAGTAGTTAAGGACATCAGCTTTTCCCGTCATTGCAATACAGCAACAGTTTAAATTTGACTCTTGTTCTACATGCAAGCAAGTCTGCTGTAAAACTTGCATAGTAGGAATGACATTATTTAGTTTCCTATTTGGTTTCAAATTTTACTTGAGATTAGATTTGATTCCTTCAAGAGGTTTTGTTTGATTTTTTTTTCAGTTTCACAAATGTGTCCTAAAACTTGAAAGACAAAATGTACTTTTGACATTTTCTTAGAACAAGAAAGGAAAAAATAAAATTACTATACTATTTAAAATCCCAAGGTTTGTCAATTTTAGAGTAAAACTTAAAAGCTAATTCTAATTAATAGATTGGAAATTAGTTTATATTACCAGGTCTGGCTGTGTTAGTCCTCACAATTATCTATGTTCTCTGAATAAGCTATTGTTCCATGTATTTCACATTCTTCCTTACTCATTTCCTTTTGAAAAGCAGAAAACATTTCCAAGCCTTTCAGTTTCTCTTCGTGTTAAGGAGCTGCTATGCCTTTAAGTATTTCTGTTGCCTTTCTTTAAACTTCTCTTAGCTTCCCAACAATCTCTGTTAACATCAGATAAGAAATACTGTAGCCAGCATTCCAGAAAAACTGCATCCTTGATTTACTTAAAAGAGCTCACTGGTGCACTTAAGAAAATTTAAATATGACAGTTTATTCAACTAAAGATATTATATTTTTATTAATATTCTGTATTTTTTTAAATGTTTTTTTCCAGGCTTTGTTAGATTTCTGTGATTCCTATGATTTAGTTTGTACCAAGCCTACAGTGTGGGTCCTGCACTATCTCAACACATCTGGAGCCAGCTGTGAAAGTAAAATTCTGGGTGTGTATGCCACCAGAGCTGATGGGACTGATGCAATTAATAAGGCGCTAGGAACAAAAATTCACAGTAAAAGCATGTACAAAAGGTAAGGTGACTGTCAAACACATGAAGGCACTATGAAATGAGAATAACATCTCACTTATTACAATTATGCCTAATATTATCATATGTAGCATAACAGAGCATGATTGTATTATAAATCTGTGGAAGGAATCAGATTGTTTCCAGCTCCAAAAACAGCTGGCTAAGAGAAATGGTCACATGAAACAAACAAACAAACTATAAACCAAGCACGGAGTACAAGAATTTGAGAGTCCACACAAGGGGGTTGGCTTGTAGTTGCTGTAAGTTCTCATTATGTTTCACTTGTTATTTTTAAAAGGTCTCAACAATTTAAAATTACTTTCTGATATTTACACTAAATACAGTGAATGAATCCCCATCCAGAAAAACTTCCAGAAATATCTGCAAAGTTAGTTATGATTCATGCAATTGTACTTTGCAGTCTTCCAAAACAGCTGAACATCAAGAACTAAAGATAGTTTTAATTCTATAAAGATCATGTTCATCTCTACTACACTATTAATGTATTTTATGGCAATAGGTTGAACTTATTGGCAGATCTGTACTTACTACTGGAAGCAATTTGTCTTTCTCTTGGTCCCACAGTACAGTGTCAGAAGTGCACTTCACTGTGTATCTTTTGATTAAGAGAGAGCTTTTGATGTTTCATAATCATTATAATTAAGATGCATATTTTCCTAAATTTAGGCCGGGAATATTAATATTTATTCCAAGAGTATTTTGGAAACACAGTATATCAGGTATCTGTCCTCCTACTGTATTTTTCCTTTGAATAAATGATTGAGATCTAGAAGAATAGATTTTACACCATTAATGCTGTAATTATTATTTTATGAACATCTGTTCTTTCATGAAATATCCATTTTTAGCAATAGGTATTCACAGGAGGATAAGAACCTCTTATTCAAATGAAAATTAAATTCAAGTAACATTTTCCTTTATAAACATTTACTGCTAAGTCCTTGTAGTTAGGATTTGGTAAAAAGAATGATACATTTCATCAGTGTTCCATTTTTAAGGACGTAGCTAAATTTATCACATAACTGTTACCTTTAAAACAATATTTCTAGAGAAGCTGGAAATAATGTCCAATACATCTGGAGCTATTACTCAGTGGCTGAACTGAAGAAGATGATGGATGCTTTCGATGCCTGGGAAGGGAGAGGTGAAGTATTAATTTTTATTCCAGTAGTACTACTTTTTAACAGAAAAATAAGAAAAATATTTGCTAATTAACTATCATGAAAAGTCTTCATAAACTTTGACTTGTAATGTAAAATATTCCATAGCAATGGCCATCTGGAGGTGGGGAAGTCTTAAGGGATGTTCCAGGGAGGGGACATGAGCTGACATGAATGAAGAAGCACACTGGCTGTAAACAATGTTCATGTCAACAGTTTCAAAGCTGAAATTCTGCTGCATAAAATACACATATTGTGTGTTTGATTCCCTTGGTCAGGTGTCTACACTCATGATGTTGGCTGTGTTCTCTCAGCTCATCAATACAATTTTTGCATATAAATGCAGGTGTCAGCTACTGGAGAGTGCCCCAGGAGCTGATTGAGTGCTGGACTCTTGAGGAACGCCCTCTGAAAGGCAGTTTGCATCATATGCCACCAGTTTATAAAAGGTATGCTGATTTACATAGATGGCTTTCAATTAAGCACAAACACAGTGCAATCTTTTTTTTTTTTTTCCCTCTATAATTTCAGGTTCCTTAAATAGCTATGCATGTTGAGTCTTCTCTGGTTTTTTATTTACAGTTTTATAAAATGTCTTATAATCAGAGAGCTTGATTGAAGAACTGAACTTGCTAGAAACAAATTGCTTTTATCTTAGAGGTCTCAGCAGCCTGGGAAGGAGTAATTTAAAAATGTAGAGAGCAGTGCTAGTTAAATAGACTGCTAAAACAGAAATTTACCTGAAAACTTTAAAATGTTAACTGATTTTCACATGTGTGAGATGCCTTCTTTTTAGAAGGAATTTCTAGAATTTCTTCTCTGCAGTTTAGTGGTGATACTTTTGACTACACCTGCATTCTCAGTGCATTAACTTAAAGCAGCCCTTTGCAGGTGCTGTTACACAGTTACCTACCTGAGCCACCCTACAGCCACTTCACTGCTACAGTTTTTAATGTGTCACCTTACAGAGGTAGAAGAGATTGGTTGTTCACAGAAAGGCAAGCCTGATTGTAGAGATGAACTATTGGGAACCACAAATGATACGGTAACAAGCAAAAATTAAAATAACTTCCTATTTGTGGTTGGCTGTTACATATTGTCTGTTTTGTAATAATGTCATAAAAAGAATAACTTACATATATAGTTCATTTATTTAATAAAGTTCCTTATATTACAGACGACTAATTGACTATACTGAAGAGGAAGACTGTTTGCCATCTAAAGTGGGTCCCAAGCCAATCAGGTTCTCAGGTCCCTCGACAAGTACCCACATCAAAGTCAAGAACTCAGCTTCACTAAAGGTAGCTGCTTGCAGGGCTTCACGTTCTGCAGCAGCTCTTAAACGACCCAACAGTGAAAGTCTGACATTGCACAAAGAAGCTTCTGAAACCACATCCACAACATGCGCGTTGGTGCCCAGCAATGCCCAGGTGCCCTGTGGAAGGCAGAGTGCTGGCAGTGGGACACCAAGCCAAATGGCATTCAAGGTGGCAGGGGCTAAGAAACCTGTAAACAGCCGGGTAGTGAAGCTGAAACGAACTCCACTTCTTCTTGTGACACCATCTCAGCCACCGCCCTCTGTACCCAGTAAAACAAGTAAACAGGACAGTGCTGCTGGTGAAATCCCTACTACTTCGGTGGCACTGAACAAGAAAGAACCAGCTGTATTAGCAGAAAGTATTATTAAGGATGATAAAGTGGATGGATAATGTTTGACTCAGCCTGATAGACCAGACAGCTTTGCATCATCTGGTCAAAGAAGAGATCATCATCTCATGTGGTCATTTATCAAAGATTAGGTGTAAAATGGTGATGAAATTCATGAAAAGCATATGAAGAAATTGTTTTAAGTGAGCATTGAAGTGTGTTTTCTTCTTTAAAATTTTTTTAGATGTTGGGAAGGGAGGACAAAAAATGGATTAACACCCCCCCCCCCCCCAAACAGTTTTAATGTTCCAGTATCTCACATTCTGTTGGGCTATACCTTAAAGGGAGTACTTGCACAGCATAAAAAAAGACCTCTTTATCAACTGTAACTACTGTTAACAGTAACTAGAGTTAACCTTAATTTGTACCTTTAAAGTATGGGAAAATAGATAAAACCAAGTAGCTTTTCTTAGATATAAGTTTGCCACAAATGAGCAACATACTGAGTACTGTGAAGACTCCAGAAGTTTAATGGTACTTCCTGGTACTTCTGGTGTGGATAAATCACCATTTTTGTTATTTAACAGCAATGAAAGGGACCACCTTTGCCCCCTCCTTCCCCCAAGCAGGGCAGAGGAGACGTTCTTGTTCCAGGGCAAATGCTGAGGAGTGGTACTGAAATGAAGAGCTGCTGGATGTCTCTATCAGGAGAGGAAAGGTGAATTTGGATCACTGATTTTAAAGAGCCCTTTTAGTTGTTTAAATCAGTGGACAGAAACTGGCTTTGTTTTGTACCCTTGCTTACAGTTGGGTGCTGGTTTTTTTGCTGGTTTTACGAGTGCTTTTGCTCTTCCAGTGCAGTAAATAGAGCTGTCTGTAAACACTCAGAGCATTGCCAAAATGCACCCTTCTTAACATTCCTGAGACTATTAGAATTACAGAAGGGCTCTTTAAATGTTTTATTTTCTACATCACTTAGAAGCCATCACATTTTCTGGCTTTTCTCCTAACCAGAAGGAATTGACACATCATCTGCACAAGTAAAAACCCCAATTTTTCATGTACTAACATATTTTTAGGGAGACATTTTGCTATGAACAGTAGCCACTGTAAAGTTGGTATGTATATGAAAGACCTTTAGAATCTTTAGGTTTAATCTTTAAGCTAGAGACTTTTCTTAATAAACCTAAAAATGACAATACTGAGGCTCTTCCTAACTTGACAAAAAAAGTTTCACTGAACAAAGGAAAAATCAAAAATTATGAAAATATGCAAACATAATGATATTCTTTGAACATGCAATTCATCATGGAGACTAAGTCTGTGAAACTTGTTTTTCCTAATGATCTGGTTGAAAAGCAGTTTTTAATACCTATCTTCTGTGTGACTTTTTATTCAATAGCTGAGCACTTTACCATGCACTTTTAAATCTTTTTACAAAGCTTCCTAAAGCTTATTTCTTTCCTCTTCAACTTTTGACAAATTTAGAAAGCTTCTATAAACACAGAATCGCAGAATATCATTCAGGTTAGAGAAGACTCTTGAGATCACTGAATCCAACTATCACTAAAGCTCACCAAAAGTACAGAATTTTGCATGCATTCAAGGAAAAAAACTTCGAGAATAATCCTACAGGACTTTCTGAGTTTGCACTACCTCAGTGTTTATTTAATTATTCTAGCAGCACAGTATTTTTGGAGCAACATTCATGTCATTTGCATTACAGTGGCTTTAATGAGCCTTCTCTTTGTCCTGGACATACTAGCCTGTGGTTAAGAGAATAAAAAACAAACAAGAAAGACCCCCTTGAATTTCAATAGATGAAAGAGCAAAGTGGCTGTGGTGGAGAGGTAAAGAAAGATCAATTACTTTTTGAGGGACTTGATTTTATTTATTTATTTTTAATTGGACATGGCCTTTTAACTTAACTGAGTAAGCACTTCCAACATGATTTTATATCACAGAATCTTGTTAAGTTTCTCTTAACTGATGGACTGGTATTGAACAGTTTTATCATAGATTAATAGCATTAACCTTCATGCTGACTTTCACCATAATACCTTTGCCCTTATCTACCCAAAGCCTTTTAAAATGTGGAAACAAAATTTCATCTTCTCTGGGAGGCCAGTAGTTGAAAACAAATTAAATTTACCAGTCAAAGGATGAGTAATCCCTTAACCTGGCTAACAGAATGTTTTTGGAGGCCTTGGGACAAGGAGCAGAAATTCTGCAAGTCTGAGTTTCCTACAGGTTGAAATTTCTTCAAAACCGTATAGTCCCAAGTTTCTTGAAAGTCTGCCAACTGCAGACTTTCATCTATATTTCACTTAACATTTCACTCGTCTAACTCAAGTGAAGAATTCTTACTGCATCTGCACTGATAAACTGTGACACACTGAGTGCGCTGACTGGATAGTTCAGCTGGGGAAACTGCTAAAGCTCAGCTACAGAGCTTTTAGAGCTGGGACCAGGTGTGTTGTGGAGTGGATTTGACAGTGGTTTACTTTGAATCTTTCTAAAAGTCATTACAGCAGAGATCATGTGCAGAAAAGACCATGTTCAGGAAGTGACTCCAGTTCAGTAATCTAGGCTCTGATATGAGCACTGAAAGGCTGACAGAGCCCCAGTAGAGTCTGATGCCATAATTTTTTCTTACCAATGCTGACAGTTTTTTTGTTTAATTCTTACTTTCACACTACAGTCTTCCCAAACCATCAATGATATGGCATCACATGGGTTAAGGAGACAAGAAAATCATGATTCCAAGCTGGATTTCTATAAAATTACTCCTCTGTGATTACACGTGCAGAGGGCCAACTGCCACCAAAATGTGATTCAAACAGATGTAATTCTACCTGTATGTTTTGGAGCGTGGAGAACTCATTTGTACCTGGTATAAGCATTATTTCATGTGATAGGCATATGTTGTCACTGATCCTCAGGGAGAGTTTTCATCAGGTTTGTTTTTAGCTCAAGAGTCCTGGAAATACCAAAGCTAACTCATTTTTCTTTCGGAATGTTCCAGTTATTTCCCTACCAGCTCTTTCAGAGCAGAAACATACTCTTATAAACTGGATTACATTAAATTACTTAGATAATAAACATTATGTAGTTCAAATCTTACTGTTTCTAATAAAGAAATCCTACCATTACCCAGGAGTAAGCAGATTTGATCTACTTATTTCCTCCCAGTCCATGAAGGACAGATTCTCACACAAATAAAATCAGGAGGCCAGTTATGCTATCAAACACTTGGGAGGGAAGCTGTCTGTCTGCCCCTCAGCTGCAGTTACAGTTACTTTTAAATTTTTTTTTCCAAATATGGCTAACTAATCAAAGTTTTCCAAACAGTTTGACTGTATTAAGTTACCTTCTCTTTTTAGTTTTCCAGCTGTGTATTTAGATCTTCATTTTGCTGGGTTCTGCCCTCACTCCGAGTTTAATCTTGCACAGAAGATAAACAGATCCAACCTGCTCTAAAATAGTGACCTTTAAGGTCTGTTTCCACTTCTGAAAGAGCAAACAAAGGGCAGTGGGAATTCCATGTTTGTGCTTGAGTGATGTCAAACAGCTGTATTTGCTTTGCAAATGGAGGGCACTTTTTATAAAAGAGGACAGGCCTGGATGTCAAGCTTTGCCCTGCCCTTAGTTCCCTCACTGACCCCTGTACAAGTTCCCTTAAAAGAAGCATCACACGTGGCCATCTCTGTAATGAGAAAATAAAAACAGAGCTCCACTGAAGATGGGCCCAAGAGCATTTGGTTACTCACAGCTACTGTGAACAGTAAAACACTCCCAGAAATTGGCACACAGAGACACAGGAAATGAAGATGAAGAGATACTTTTCTGACACAATTACACCTCAGAGAACAGCCACATAATGTAGTTAAAATGTGGAGTGCAATGAACTTCCAAAATCGGCACAGATACCAGACAACCCTTGGTGTGCTAAAACTGCAGCACCCCCAGAACCAGTCCACTCCCCAGCCCAACCAAACCCCTGCAGCTCTCAACAAAGAAAATACATGTGCACCACGAGAGAAAGGCCATCCTTCACCTGCTGGGCCTGGGTCTGTCACATACTGAGGCATCTGTACTTCAGAACTCACCTTGGACTGAAGAGCACAAGGTGGTCCTGCTGTGCTGAATTATGACTTCTGTTATGGATGTTATTTATTTGTAGAAGGTTGCTTGGGAGAAGCTGATGAAAAAAATAACTTTCAAAAATCCTGTCACGTGCAGAAGCTATTGGGAAGGAATAAACGTCATTATAGATAAATTAGATTCTCTTTTTTTTTAGGAAGGGTTACAAGAAGAAACAAATTTCACAACTTAGAGAAGGCCAATATAAGAAGATTCCTCTGTAATATCTGCAGGGAATTTGTAATGATATCTCTTAGAGAGTGAGGCTACAGGTCAAACTGTAAGGAAGCAGATAAATTTTGAAAAGCTATCTGTCTGATGGGTGTTGCACAACAGAGATTATGGAATTTCCATGCCATCTACTCAAAAACTTAATAGTGTGATAGGTAATTATGGAATTTCCATGCCATCTACTCAAAAGCTTAATAGTGTGATAGGTAATTCAGTTGGATAATAACACTGCTTGCACCATAAGAAAGCCTCTGTCTACCTATGCATGTTTATTTTTCTTTCACCGCTCTTCCAGATGCAGATGAGTTATTTGCCTTTTAAAATCAGGTTTCACCAATATTCATATGTGGGACACTGGATACAGATATCAAGAGAAGTAAAAATTAAGGAATGCACCTCACTCTACACTTGCAGATTACTTTTTAAGGGCCACAGAGGAATAGTAAACCAGTTAATAAGGAAGAGTTCAGACAACAAACAGAAATTAGGCAGAGGAAAACTGGTAAAAAGCAATAGTAAACAATAACCTAGGCATAAACTTTTAAAGATACTTAAGTATCCTCCAGCTCTAACTGAAACCTCAATGGGAGGTCAATCTTCCTGACCTTCTACGCCTTTCTGATTGTGACACTCAGGTCACTCGTTCATCTGATGCCAGGTCTGGATTCTGACACCTTACTCTGTAAACAATAACTTACATTAAAAGTGTGTTCAGGATGGAGACAGCTCTCATGGCAAAGTTGTTTCGTGCCCTGTGGCATTAAAATCCAACTAAAAGCAAAAGCCTAGTCCAGTCCAAACTCAGCTGAAAGCCTCCCACTGACACCACCTAAACTAAGCAAATACAGTTTGAGGGCACTCAAAGATACAAAGGTTAGGCACTGCAAAGCAGCAAACACCAG